TGTGTAAAAGTAAACTGAATTATTCTTTAAAAATAAATGAATAAAAGAATGGATTTGAGGAGTAGTTTGGTAAGATCATTAAAAACGGAAGAAAAAAGAATTTTTTATTGAAAATAACAATGTATTTATTTTCAAATCAAGAAAATTATTATTTTATTAAAACTTTGGTTGTGGTGGTTTAAATAACAGTTTTATATATTAGTTTTGTTTTCCGTAATTCATTTATAGTAGGAGTGAGAATTTTTTTTCCTGTTCTTTGTGACTATATGAATAAATGTAGTCTGAATCAATTGATAACAAGAAGACACTCAGAGAAAATTTAGCGGAACAATGATTCCGATTTATCGGTATTCTTCAATGCGAATTACTTATTAAAAAAATTTGGTTGGAAAATTCTTGGAAAAGCGCTACTGTGGAAAATCGGGAAATCGGAGAAAATTCAGACCAGTCTCAATCGATCGGGCGGGAAATTTCATGTGAGGTGGTGACCCAAAGGGCAATTTTCAGGCGAAAAAAAACCATCCATTTTTGAGATAAATAAAAAAATTCGGATGGCAATTAATAAGTAATTTGCATTGAAGAATACCGATAAATCGGAATCTCGGAACATTTATTCCGATTTATCATTCCAATTGGTTTTAATACCGATTAATCGGAATCATTGATCCGCTAAATTTCCTCTGAGCAGATATCGTGTGTAAAATCAATTCCAGAAAGAGGAGCATTTTCCCAGAACATCGTTTTTTGCTTTGAAAAAATAAGTATTGAACATACGAGATGGACATAGAGATGAGTAGCGCTTTTTTAGTATTAACGTCGTGCAAAGTGAATTGAACTGAAACGATGATGGTTACACGTTACAAGAGGTGATGGTTAGTAGACTGACGGATAATCGAGATCGTACCGTATAATTTCAGAATACACAGGGATAGTAGATTTATATACTATTCCGAATTCCATAAAGATTTAAATTAAATTTAAGACAGACAGACTAACATTCTATTTCGGGGAGTCGTGAAGTGACCTAGCGCCGAAGCCGAGCGAAGCGGGGCGAGGCCGCTAGTATAGTATAATATCATAGTGATAGTTTTTGTCAATCTCCCCACTGATTTCAACAAAAAATCATTTCTATTCTACTCTCAATTCGCATTCCATACAATGTAGGAAAAAATTTTTTGCTTTTATTTCAGAGCGTCAAACCAACTCCACCGCCACTTACACCTAACGAAGCTAAATTTATAGCCGATATAACGGTACCGGGAAGTGAGTGTGCATTCGAATTTCGAATTAAATCAAACCATTTTTGACGTCATTTTTTATTTTATTTTATTTTTCGACGGCAAAAGAGGAGATTTTCCATGACTCATAATCTAATACTGATTTCATCAAAGCACTGAAATATTTTTCTTTTACAGAATTTCTTACTATCACCAAGGATGAATATGCCAATGCTGACGAAAATGCTGAAATACAATTTAATGCAATCATTTTATCTGAAACGGAGATTTTTACCTGTGCATATCATGTGCACGGTGCGCCATATGTGTATGTAACAGTTAATACACTATCAAGCAATGCGAAAAAAATCAAAGTCACTAAAGACCAGATAGAAATTCATGAGAAATACGCATTTCCTGGATTGACATTTGACATCGCTAAGATTACACTTAAAGAACCGTTGGAGTTCAACGATAACGTTGGCAGCATCGATTTGGTGGACAAAGATTACAAAATGAATGACCCATCCGAAATGGTCACTGTCTATGGTGATATGGTATTGAGTGGAACGGTGAGAAAGAGACGTTATGACACAAAGTATTTGAATGGCGCCATTTGCAAACCGAAATTGGGCGCTGTATTTGATGCAAATCATTTGATGTGTTGCACTTTAGATGAAAGCATGGGAACTCCCTCTACGTTTGGAGGACCAATGATTTCGAAAAAGAATAATAAACTTGTGGGTATGACCATAATTCGTTTACCTGATAAGCCAGTTATATTTCAACCGATTGCACCGTTGCTTGATTGGATCCGGAAGCCAAAGGTGTGACGTTTTCAAAGAAGAAGAATATAGGTTCGAAAAAAGGGGTTTTAGGCGCCTGAAAAAGCTGAATACCGTCTCTTTTTTTGCCCCTGTCATTTGATGTTCAACAAAAAACCGAATAAATTTGAACATTTGAGAAAAATGCATTTTATTCTCCATTCGCCCATGCGCAGTTACATGATTATCTGAAATAATTGCGATATATATTAAAACGAGGTTTTTATACAAACTTCCCGTGTAGACGGCCGTCACACCGGCAAAAATCGGAAAAGAAGTTTAAAAAATTGTTTCAATTCTAATGCATTATTTTGTGTGCCTAATCCATTGTTATCGGCACATTGAAAATCACAACCTTTTGGTCACCATTAAGATGAATCATCATTCCAATGGACTTGAAAGTGTATCGCAAATTTTTGTTTCATTTAAAGTGAAACACGATGTCTATAGTCAATAGATATTTCGCGATTCACTTTCAAGCGAACGGAATTCATGTTGCACTTTTGAAAAAAAAAGAATATTGTGATACGCTTATACCCAGTGCCCAAGCGAAAGAGTATGCGTGCGCTCTGGAGCTACAGTCATGTATCGGTGTGCGTGAACAGCATACTATGTTTAACGTAGAAGCAGTGAGAACGTAGATGTGTTGCATACACACGCTCGCCGCTACGCTGCGATGAAATTTATCGTCACGATAGAGCCTCATTGTACTCTTTTGCTTGGGTGGGCCCAAAAACCTTGAAAACGAGTTCTCTTCTCTGTGGTTGTCTTTTGCTGTTGCATAGTGTATCACGTCAAGGGGGAAACTACTACTACCGCGTAATTCATATCAATGCAATCTAGTAAAACACAAATTCTGAAAAATTCCAAAAAATTCTGCGCAATTCAAAACAATTCCAATCAATTCCGATGTTCCTTAGTCAAATTTGGTGATGATCAACTCAAAATATCGCAAATATAGGAACATTTACTATTCATTTGAATGCATATTGAAGATTTTTACTTCCAGATCATATTTGAATTGGTTTGATCTACAAGACTCAATTCTAGCTCTGTTTTCTATTTTGAAAATATTTTATGTATCATAAAGCCCTTACCTATTTGAAGTGAAATATTGAATTGGAAGTGAGACCTATGTACAATTAAAAACGTCCTATCTGAAGTTATTTCGATAAGATTGAACATCTATGCGCTTAAGCATTCTTTTGAGATGCTAAATGACCCTATATTTGCAATTTTTGAAGTTGATCATCATCAAATTTGACTTAGAAACATCGGAATTGATTGGAATTGTTTTGAATTGCGCAGAATTTTTTGGAATTTATCAGAATTGGTGTTATACTAGATTGTTTTAATATGAATTATGCGGAAGTAGTAGTTTCCGCATTTCCGTTTTAGGAAGTTCAATAACAAAATTCCTTTGATGGATACGTGTAGCTGATACAATTTGTGTAAAATTATGGCAAAAAAATGGAATACGTTCGAAAACATTTTAAATTCAGATGTAACTGGTTCGTAATTTGGTTATTTTCGGCTGTTGCTTATTGTTTTAGCACACACTCATTGTTTTTGTGAACATTTTTGTTCTCCAGCCTGATGATGCTCCTAATAAGAGCGAAACGTCACACAATAAACGAATAATCATTTTCGAAAACGGTTTTAGCCCAACACACCACTTTTGTGTTTATTCAGATGGAATGAAACAAAACAACAGCTACACGTGTGTATTAAAGGAATTTAGTGCATGTGATGCTGGAGTGCACAGTATATATTATGTGTATAGGCTGATATTCAAGTTATGAATTCATTTCAGAGTGAATAGAATTTACCTAGGGGGAACGAACGACACAAATTCAAAGCTAACATGGAAATATTACCAATGCCTAACAAAACGTGCAAATGTGTGCAAATACGACAAACGAAAGCCAGAAGATGTATGCGTATTTGCCATCCTTATTCGTGCTCAGCGGGCACTGCTCACTACGAACGAGACGAAGCAACATGAAAACAACAAGAATAACATAGACGAGCGCTATGCAAATGCTTGCAAATGGACGTGAATACGGCAAATACGTCAAGTCGTTCTTTCACCATAGGAATTTACTTCAAGGGTACTTTTTTGTTCAATGCGTGATGTGGCATTATCATGTATATATGAGTGGTCGGGAATAAAAATGACCAACGTTGAACCATGGTTTTATTCTTTTTTCTAACCACTCTGAATTGAATTCATAACTTGAATATCAGCCTATATACATAATATATACTGTGCACTCCAGCATCACATGCACTTAATTGCTTTAATACGCACATGTAGCTGTTGTTTTGTTAAAACGAATCTGAATAAATACAAAAGTGTTGTGTTGGGCTAAAGCCATCTCCGAAAATGGTTATTCGTTTATTGTGCGACGTTTTGCTCTTGTTAGGACAAAAGTGTACACAAAAACAATGAGTGTGTACTAAAACAATCGGCAACAGCCGAAAATAACCAAATTACGAACCAGTTACATCTGAATTTAAAATGTTTCCGAACGTATTCCATTTTTTTCTATCGATTTCCACAAATTGTATCAGCTACACGTATACATCAAAGGAATTTTGTTATTGAGCTTCGTTGAATGTTTGAACATGGTTACACTATGCAACAGCAAAAGACAACCACAGAAAAAGGAACTTATTTCCAAGGTTTTTGGGCACACTTTATCCAAATCTGGAGCGTTAGTTTTACTCTGGCACGTCTAGTTTCCAAGATACGTTCATTGCGGTTTCCATATCAGATTTGGATTAAGTGGGCACAAAAACCTTGGAAATGAGTCTCCTCTTTTTGGGGGAAATTTTTTTCTTTGAAATTTGTTGCATAGTGTTAGTAGACCTCAATTCGTAAATTCCATAACTGTAAAATAGTATACTTATACAATCATTCATTACAGTGCACATGCCAGCTATTGGTGTATGAATGGTATAAAAGAGGCGCCACCGCATAGGGAAGACCAAACGAATTCAAAGTATCTCTTCTCAAATTATCATTGTGCAACAGGTTAAAACTCTGTTTCGTTGGCAAATTAAAATGAATCTACTACACGGTTTGTTTTCGGTGCTATTTATCGTTGAATTTTCAGTAAGTTTTTTTTCACTTTTAACCAATAAAATACGATGTTTCTGCAGAACTGAAAGTAAACACGAAATTTATTTTTCTAGGAACTTCATGGAAAACGTAAGACAATTTTCGTTTTCGAACACGCTTTTTATGATTCAAACAGATTTTTTAGACTATTATTATATTTAATTCAAAATTTTATTTTTTTTTCTAATGAACAGATGGCTTCTTCTCGCAAGCTCTTCTCAAGGGCGAAGTGGTTGAAAACATGTCGCAGGCAAAGTTTGTAGCTGGAATCCATGTCCCCGCAAGTAAGTCAGCTTTAGAATAATTTTTATTCTTTTTTCGTGTGCATTTTCGATTCAAATATTCTATCAATTTTGTGTGTTTTAATTTCTGCTTGTACTGGAACGAAACGATTTCATTACAGAATATTTGTATGCATTCAAAAACAATTTAACTGACGCTGATAGAGAAAGGCTGTCTACATGTACCGCATTTATTCTGTCGAAAACGGAAATTATCACGAATGCCCATTGTGTGGCTGGCGCTCCATATGCATATGTGGTAGCTGGTACGAAAGTTGCATCAGACAAAAAACAAAAAATCAAAATCAAAGTCGAAAAAGAGAACATTGCATATCACCCTTATTATAGTCATTCAATTGTTGGTCCATTTGATATTGCCAAAATTACACTGAAAACGCCGTTAGAATTCAGCGATACCGTTGGCAGTATCAAACTCGTGGACAAGGATTACAAATTGAATAACTCATCAGAAGTGGTCACTGTCTATGGGTATGGCGTGTTGAATCTACCAATGATATTGAGGCGTTGCGATGCAAACTATATATCTGATGTCGATCGTGTCAGCGCATTTAACCCACGTCAAACATTGTACTTTACTACTGGTAAAGCTACGAAAGATGGCGAAATTCTTATATCGGGCGATTCGGGTGGACCAGTCGTTTCAAAAACAAATGGCAAAATCGTGGGCATAACTGTGGGTATAAATGGAACAACAAGTGGTCGTGGAATGTTCCTTCCAATTACTCTATTCCTTGATTTTATTCATGACCCAAAGGTAATAAAATGTCTCAATTCTGATTCTCAACAACGCGTTCAATTGTAATTTTGCTTTTATTTCAGAGTGTGAAACCAATTCCACCTCCGCTTACGCCTAAGGAAGCTAAATTTATGGCCGATATAACGGTACAGCCAAGTAAGTTTGCATTCGAAATTCGAAATAAATCAATTTTATAATTAATTAAAACACTTTGAAATTATCCGGTTTTAAAAGTCACTTTTTATTGTCATATTTTTTTCGAGAACAAATGGGGAGATTCCTCATGATTCATACTCAAACAACTGAAATGTTTTTCTTGCAGAATTTCTTACCTTCTATGCCGATGCCAACGAAAATTCTCCAATCCATTTTAATGCAATAATTTTGTCGAAAACGGAGATTTTGACCTGTGCACATCAAGTGCACGGCGCTCCATATGTCTATATAATAGTTAATAAACTCTCAAGCAATCCAACAAAAATCAAAGTCACTAAAGATCAGATAGAAATTCATGAGAAATACTCATTGTCTGGATTCGCCTTTGACATTGCCAAGATTACACTTAAAGAACCGTTGGAGTTCAACGAGAACGTCGGCAGCATCGATTTGGTGGATAAAGATTACAAAATGAATGACCCATCCGAAATGGTCACTGTTTATGGTGATATGATATTGCATGGAACAGAGAGAACGAGACGTTATGATACAAAGTATTTGGATGGCGCCAAATGCAAATCGAACTGGGACGATTTATTTGATGCAAATCATTTGATGTGTTACACTTTAGATGAGAGTATGGGAAATCTCTATGCGTTTGGAGGACCAATGGTTTCGAAAAAGAATAACAAACTCGTGGGCATGACCATATTTGGTTTACCTGATGAGCCAGTTACTTTTCAACCGATTGCACCTTTGCGTGATTGGATCCGGAAGGCAAAGGTAGGACGTTATCAAAGAAGATGAAAAAAGGCTTGGAAAAAAGGGTTTTAGGCGCTTGAAAAAGCTGAATACCGTCTCTTTTTTTGTACCTATCATTTGATGTTCAACAAAAGAACCGAATAAATTTGAAAATTTAAGAAAAACGCATTTTATTTCTCATTTGCGATATATATTACGTAAGTCTGAGCGAGAAATCATGAGTTCTGGGTATCCCAGTGAATAGGTACTACGGAACTGGTGAAATGATGGCTCGAATTTATTCATAGCGTTTTAGAGGCGATGGACACACTATTCTTGCCGAATTCTGCTCGGAAATGCGAGTTTTGGCCATGTGTAGATTTGACCATATAAATCAATGTAAAATCAGCCGCGCCGCGCTCCGAGAATTAAATACGAACCTTCTATGTAGACGATCGTAACACAGGCAAAAATCGAAAGAAAAAGCTTTGAAAAAATGACAGTATTTTGTGTGCCCGTAAATAAAATAAATTGAATGACTATAATATATCTTGATATTTTGCCAACAATTGAATGACTAATAAGATACCGACCTTATTAATATATTAATAAGATAAATGATCTTATTAACGAGCATTTTTGGGTTAATTTTTCAAAATGCTCAATCGAACCTTTAAACTGAAACTACCACAAAATTTTTCGTGAAAAACTGAACAAAATCCGAATTTAAAACCCCAGAATTTCAAAATCGAATTTTGTTAAAAAAACAGTATTTCTGAAAAAGTCGAAATATGTTACGTAAAACTATAGTATACTGTGCACTCCAGCACCACATGCACAAAATTCCTTTGGTGCACACGCGCAGCGGTTTTTTCATTCCATCTGTATAAATACAAAAGTGATGTGTTGGGCTAAAGCCATCTTCGAAAATGGTTATTCGTTTATCATGCGACGTTTCATTTTTGTTAGGAACATCGTCAAGCTGGAGAACAAAAGAATTTAAAATGTTTTCAAACGTTCCATTTTTTTGCTATAATTTTACACATATTGTATCAGCTATACGTGTCCATCAAAGGAATTTTGCTATTGAGCTTCGTTGAATGTCTGAACATGGTTACATTATGCAACAGCAAAAGACGACCACAGAAAACGGAACTTATTTGCAAAGGATTGGGCCCACTTTATCCAAATCTGAAGCGTTAGTTTTGCTCTGGAACGTCTAGTTTTCAAGATACGTTCATTGCTTTCCGTATCAGATTTGGATTAAGTGGGCCAAAAACCTTGGAAATGAGTCTCCTCTTTTTGGGGGAAATTTTTCTTTGAAATTTGTTGCATAGTGTTAGTAGACCTCAATTCGTAAATTCCATAACTGAAAAATACCACAATTCATCAATTATACGTTGCAGTGCACGTGTCAGCTATTGGTAGATGAATGGTATAAAAGAGGCGTCCCGCATAGGGAAGACCAAACGAATTCAAATTATCTCTTCCCAAATTATCATTGTGCAACAGGTTAAAATTCTGTTTCGTTGGCAAATTAAAATGAATCTACTACACGGTTTGTTTTTGGTGCTATTTATCGTTGAATTTTCGGTAAGTTAGATCTTTTACTTTATGATATTCATCCAACAAAATACAATATTTTTGTAGAACTGAAAGTAAACACGAAATTTATTTTTCTAGGAACATCATGGAAAACGTAAGACAATTTTTGTTTTCGAACACGCTTTTTATGATTTATTTCATTCGGTATTAGCTATGCTAAATACATGCTGCCATATTGGCCAATTGTGTTTTACATTTAATAGTTAAATATAATATGAATAATCATTTTTTTAGTAAATACGAGTACATTTCTTTGGTAAAATTCTTAATATCACTAATTTCTCTTATTTCGTTGGGAATTTTATTCCATAATCCGGGTCCACTTATTGCTAATGAGTTTTTATGGAAATTATTTGCGTGTTTTTTGACTATTGTTTTATTCTGGGACCTGGTATTATTTTCATTAATTGCTATTAAATGTAAAATGATTCCAAAAGATTTTCATACTTTTATAATATTCAAATCGAAAATTCAACTTTTTTTTTCTAATGAACAGATGGCTTTTTCTCGCAAGCTCTTCTCAAGGGCGAAGTAATTGAAAACATGTCACAGGCAAAGTTTTTAGCTGGAATCTTTGCCCCTACAAGTAAGTCTGCTTTAGAATAATTTTTATTCTTTTTTTCGTGTGAATTTTCGATTCAAAAATTCAAATCAATTTTGTGTGTTAATTTTTGCTTGTACTGAGACGAAACGATTTCATTACAGAATATTTGTATGCATTCAAAGACAATGTAACTGATGCTGATGGAGAAATGGTAACTACATGTACCGCATTTATTCTGTCAAAAACGGAAATTATCACGAATGCCCATTGTGTGGCTGGCGCCCCATATGCCTACGTGGTAGCTGGTACGAAAGTTGCATCAGAGAGAAATCAAAAAATCAAAATAAAAGTAGAAAATGAGAACTTGGCATATCATCCTCATTTTGATCATTTAATTGTTGGTCCATTTGATATTGCCAAAGTAACACTGAAAACGCCGTTAGAATTCAGCGATACCGTTGGCAGTATCAAACTCGTGGACAAGGATTACAAATTGAATAACTCATCAGAAGTGGTCACTGTCTATGGGTATGGCGTGTTGAATCGACCAATGATATTGAGGCGTTGCGATGCGAACTATATATCTGATGTCGAACGGGCCATCACATTTAACCCAGTTCAGACTTTGTACTTTACCACTGGCGAAGCTACGAACGATGGCGAAATTATTACACCTGGCGATTCGGGTGGACCAGTCGTTTCAAAAACAAATGGCAAAATCGTGGGCATAACTACGGGTGTAAATGGAACAACAAGTGGTCGCGGAATGTTCCTCCCAATTACGTCATTCCTTGATTTTATCCATGATCCAAAGGTATCTAATCTCAATGCCCCAATTTGCAATTCAATAACGCGAACAAAATGTATTTTTGCTTTTATTTCAGAGCGTGAAACCAATTCCACTTTCGCTTACACCTAACGAAGCTAAATTTATGGCCGATATAGCGGTACCGGGAAGTAAGTGTGCATTCGGAATTTGAATTAAATCAATTTATCATGTGGTTTTTAACGTCACTTTTAATCTTCATATTTTTTTTCTATCGACGGCGAAAGAGGAGATTTTTTATGATTCATAAACCAATACTCATCCTGAGATATTTTTCTATTACAGAATTTCTTACTACCTACAAAGACTCATATGCCAATGCCGACGAAGATGATCAAATACAATTTAATGCAATCATTTTGTCGGAAACCGAGATTTTGACCTGTGCACATCATGTGCACGGCGCCCCATATGTCTATGTAATAGTAAATACACTATCAAGCAATCCGACAAAAATCAAAGTCACTAAACACCAAATAGAAATTCTTGAGAAATACTCATTGTTTGGATTGCCATTTGACATTGCCAAGATCACACTTAAAGAACCGTTGGAGTTCAACGACAACGTCGGCAGCATCGATTTGGTGGACAAAGATTACAAAATGAATGACCCGTCCGAAATGGTCACTGTCTATGGTGATATGACATTGGATGAAACCATACAAAAAAGACGTTATGATACAAAGTATTTGGATGGCCTCAAATGCAAATCGAAGTTGGGCGACTCATTTGATGCAAATCATTTGATGTGTTACGATTCTGTTGAAAGTATGGGATATCTCTGTGCGTTTGGAGGACCAATGGTTTCGGAAAAGAATAACAAACTCGTGGGCATGACCATGTTTCGTTTTCCTGATAATTCAGTTATTTTTCAGCCGATTGCACCTTTGCTTGATTGGATCCGGAAGCCAAAGGTAAGACTGTCTAAATTAGACAAGTTGTCTTATCTCGCTAGATGGCGTGGGTTATAGTTGGGCATTTAGCCCGAACGCGTGACTCATAAATGATTGCAATTGTAACTAACTTCACGGTGCTCCACGTCCGCCTATGACAAGGTGGCGTGCGGAATAAAACATTTCCATTCATACAGTCTAATAAAGCAGACGTGTTTTATTTCTACCACTGTTGCAGCCGTAAACAAAGACGTAATATATTGATCGTAGTGATTGTTTCCGTCAATTTCTTCACTGATTTCGATAATAACTCATCATTTCTGTTCTACGTTAGAGCGGCAGCTTTAAACTTAAAGCGCTTGCTCTTGAAGAAGCTAAATTTTTAGCCGATGTACAAGTCCCTGGAAGTAAGTGTGCATTTAAATATGTTTCAATATCTATCCACTTTCCAAAGGCGCCATTAATGCTTGTAGTTGTGACCGTACATCATTGATGCTAATAACGATTCATTTGTGTTTTTATTACAGAGCTTGCTATCGTGTTCAAAGCCACCAAGCAGACAGACTTAGTCACTTGTAACGTATTCATTTTATCGCCAACGGAAATTGTGACCAATGCACATTGTGTGCACGGTGCTCCATACGCCTTTGTAAAAGTCAATAAACTATGAAAAGATGCAAAAACAATTGAAGTTACTCGCGACCAGATAGCAATTCACAAGGATTATCGAGTTGGTAAACACGGCTTTGACATTGCCAAGATCAAACTTAAAGAGCCGTTGCAATTCAACGATAGCGTCGGCAGCATAGATGTTGCGGACAAAGATTACAAATTGAATGACCCGTCCGAAGTGGTCACTGTCTATGGTGATATGCTGGTGGATGGATCCATACAAACAAGACGCTATGATACGAACTATTTAGATGCTCGCAGTTGTAAACCAAAGTGCAGCCAATTATTTTTTGATAACCATTTATTTGGCACAAATAATTTGTGTTACATTTCTGGTGCAAATCCAGAACCTCTTGCAGTCCCTAGCGGACCCCTTGTTTCAAGAAAGAATGTCAAAGTCATCGGCATAACTGTAGCTATATCGCCTGGAACACCAGTCGTTTTTCTTCCGATCACTCAGTTGCGAGAATGGATCCGCTTAAGAAATTTTTTTTATCGGAGTTAACATCATCTAAAATAATGTCGAAATCGTCTTCAAGTC